GGTCAGCCCATCGTAGAAGAGCCATGCCACTCCAGGGAATGTGACTCTTGGCCCAGGTGAGCTGTTCCCAACTCAGGAAGGTGGCTTCCAGCCTGGGCGAGTTGCACCCAGCTTGGGGAAGGCAGTTCCCAGCCCAGGCAAGTTGCGGCTGGCTGAGACTCCTGGCCTGGATGAGCTAGGCCCAGGGCCCTGCACAGGACTGGCTCCTTCTTCTTCCCTCCCTCCCTCCCATCTTCTTCATCTCCTTTGTGGGAATGTTGCCTGGGTGGCACTTTTCCCTAGTCTGACATTCTAACCCCTACACCACCCTGGCTCTCAGAGGGTGCAACTGCAGAAAAAGTGCAGACTGGTGGCATATGATGAATGTATGACCTTGGGAAGAACGGTGAGGGAAAACTGACCTGAGAAATGTAACTGGTTCATAGGTTCATGCAGGGAGAGAGAATCCTCCACAGTGATAGAAGGATGTTAGACTGGGACTGATTTCCCACAAGCTGCTGCTCCGCACTCGCTCTTCCCTTTGCCCCGATCATACATGTCAATTTCACACTCTGTGCTGCGCAGCTGCATTTTGCCCCGCAGCTTCGCCCGATTTCCCCCGCGTCTACTCAATCCTGGTTTTGGAGGATTGAGTAGACGCGGGGGGAATCGGGTGAAGCAGTGGGGCAAAATGTGGCCGTGCAGCACATAGTGTGAAATTGACACATACAATCAAGGCAAAGGGAAGAGCCAGCGCAGAGCAGCAGCTTGTGGGAAATCAGTCTGGGCTTTTCCCCTGACAGGCTAGTTTTCTATGAGTTTCTTTCAAAGACTTGTAGTTTGAAGTGGTACAGTCAAGGAGCTGGTATATCACACGTATAGAAGAGACCTGAGAAAGGGTTGTTTGCCTCAGACCACTTGTTAAGTATACACAGAAACATAAAATCCAGAGAGTGTATGACTGACCCAAGGTGACCCAATGAGCTTCCATGGTAAAGAATGACCTTGAGCCTGTATGGGGGAAGGCAAGATCAAAATGACATAAAATAAAAATAATATCTTCTACATACAGGGAGTTTATTATTGTAGGAAATAGTTAAAAATGTAATTCCCCTCCCAGTAGCTGGTATAGTCCAGGAATCACTGTATCCCATAATCTAAGGTGGGTGTAGAGTACCTGTAAGTGCTTTGAACTTTATTAATAATAGTAACAATCTTAGAATCCAGATCCAGATCTGTGAATTTTTTTCTCCCAAACTGTCCATAAACTCCCTGTTGCTTCTGCAGCCTTCTGTCTTTCTCACCTAGGGTTGCCAGCTCTAGTTTTGGAAATTCCTGGAGATTTGGGGGCAGTGACTAGGAAGGGTAGAGTTTGGGATGGGAAGGCAGTTCAGGAGGGATGTAATTCACCAGTGTCACCCCTCCACAGCTGCCATTTCCTCCATGGAAAATGATCAATGTAGTTTGGAAATCAGTTCTAATTCTGGGAGAACTTCAGGCTCCATCTGGAGATTGGCAACCACACTCTCACCTGCCCCCCATGCCCCATTAAGCATTTTTTAGGCCCCGTTCATACGAGCCCATTTGGGCCGGGAGCGGGACGGAACTGGGGCGGAGCAAACAGGCGCGATCTCACCTCAACATCTGGCAAGCGTGCCGTCTCCGTCCCTGATCCGTCCCAACGGCCCAAACTGCGCCGCAAAAAACAACCACCTCTCTAGGTGGTTGCATCCATTGGTGCGGCACAGGCAGGGCTGTGGGATCGGCGGCGCGTCCTTGCGCCGCCGCATCCCGGCCCCCAGCCGTACTGCGCATGCCCGAGCATGTGCAGTTCGGCAGCCTCCCCCCTCCCCTCGGACTTTTCCTCCCCGGCATCTGAGCGTGCCGGGGAGTGCTGCGCCGCGGCTAGGGGATCCGTGGGATCCCACCGCGGCGTCTCAAGTTTGGAGCGGCTCTGAGTAGCCGCGTTTCAGCCGACCCGTGTGCCCGGGGCCTTAGATTGGGTGGTCAGTCTGGCTCCAGACCAGAAGATCTGGACTGGGAGTTACAAGCTGTGGCTGGTTGGCTTAGACTGAGCCAACTGAAATTGAATCTGATGAAGACTGGGAAATTCCTGGAAATGTGGGGGCGGAGCCTCCAGAAAGGGGAACCTGGGGAGGGATTTCACCTAGAATCTATAGTATACCATAGAGGCTGCTCTCTGATGCTGCAACTTTCACCTAGAATCTATAGGATATCATGGAGGCTGCTCTTCAATGCTGACACTTTTATGTAGAATCTATAGGATACCATGGTGGCTGCTCTCCAACGCTGCCATTTTCAGCTAGAATCTATAGCATACCATGGAGGCTGCTCTCTGACGCTACCACTTTCACCTTGAATCTAGAGTATACCATAGAGTCTGGTCTTCGAAGCTGCCATTTCATCCTGGGAAACTGATCTCTGTAGTCTGGAGATCAGTTGTCATTCTGGGAGAATTCCAGGCCCCACATGGAGGTTGGCAACCCTGGTTACCCTGATACAAGTAATAATAAAGAAAGGAGTATCTAAGCATGTCTAGAATGCTTTTTCCTTTCTGCAACCACCCTCAGGCCTTGGTAATGGGTTCCAGGGCAAAGAGCTTCACTTTCAAACAAGTTAGAGCCTTTCCATCTCACATTTTTTTGGAAAACGAAAGAGGTTTTTGTATTCATTTCTTGGCAAATTTCAAACAGCCTTTCAGAATCCATTTACTTTTAGATCAGACATTGAAGGTTACCTTCTCAGCCGCAAAAGTAGACGGATTAATCCATTTTTCCTAAGCTGTGATGGTTAAAGAACACAATTATAATGCGGCAAAATCAAAAAGGACAATTATGTGGCTAATCCGGCAGCCATGTAATCGTATTATACATGGTCATGTATGGTGGGCAGACAGTCACACGCCCACAGTAAAAAGTTTAAAGAAAATCCTAGCCTTGTCTTCTTGTTTGACTTTGTGAATTCAAAGTCAGGGTTTCCAAAGTGTGAAGCATTCCTTGCCACCGGCCTCTTCAAATCCACTGCCATGCAATCTGATTTTATGGGAACAGAAACATGGAGACTGCTTATGAAAACAGATATGCCCTTTTAGAACAGTGGGAACACTTCAACAGAATGTTATTCCCCCTCTAATGGGAGAAACAATGACCAACAATTCTGCAAATTTCTTGCATGGTTAGCGAGACTGGAGAAAAGCAGCTGTTGAGGGCATCTATTGGCTAGTACTCATGCCACCATTAACTTCTCCTCTTCTAATCTCCAGAACTGTTAAACTAATTTTTAAAAAGTTTGTGATTGTTTGAGGGTAAGGAAAGCTAGGTGTATAAACCAATAAATATATTGTATTCCTTAAAATATTTAAAAATGGACAGACAACCTGATAAACAAAGGGACAAGAAAAAGCTTGCAGGCTGTGGTTTGGTATCTATATCTGTAAATGCATGTTGCAGAGCCAGGCTCACAGTGCAAGTGAAGAATCCAGCATGGTCCCAGGTTTGAATCCCCACTCTGCCATGGGTGCTTGCTGGGTGACCTTGGGTCAGTCACGTGTATTCTCAGGTTGGCCTACCTCACAGGATTGTGAGGATAAAATGGAGGCGAGGGGAATTATGTAAGCCACTTTGGATCTCCATTTGGTGTAGTGGTTAAGCCAGCTTGGTGTAGTGGTTAAGAGCAGCAGACTCTAATGTGAAGAACTGGGTTTGATTCCCCACTCCTACACATGATGAATGACCTTGGGTCAGTCACAGTTTTCTCAGAGCTGTTCTCTCAAGAGCAGTTCTCTCAGAGCTCTCTCAGCCCCACCTACCTCACAAGGTGTCTGTTGTGGGGAGAGGAAGGGAAGGTGGATTGTAAACCGCTCTCAGTGATGGTCGGAGTATAAATCCATATAAATGAAGTAAAATAAATGTTAAAAATCAAAAATATCTGTCCTCACCCTTTGAATTGGAGCAGCTCCAGAAGCTGCGAACCAGCTCCACCTTCTGTGTCTTCCACAGTAAGCTCATGGGGCTCATTGTGTAACTTCAGGTCTAATGGTGAGCTTTTATAGGAAAATTGTGCATGTTGTATATGCGGTGAGATCTGGCCATCTTTCTTCTGTGGGTTCCCTTTCCCACATAATAAAACAAGTGCCATTAGTCAAGAGTGGAAGAAAATGTACAGTTATGATGGTATTCCCCGTTACTATGTATGAGTGTGAAAAGTTGGCCAATGATAAAAGTTGACAGGAAGAACATTGATTCATTTGAAATGTGGTGTTGGAGGAGAGTTTTACAGATACCATGGACCACCAAAAAGACAAATCAGTGGGCTCTAAATAAATCAAATTCTCCCTAGAGGCTAAAATGACTAAACTGAGGCTACCATACTTAACATAAGAACAGAAGAAGAAGAAGATTGGATTTATACCCCACCCTTCACTGCCCAAAGGAGTCTCAGAGCAGCTTACAAACTCCTTCCCCTTCCCCTCCCCACAACAGACACCCTGTTAAGAACAACATCCATAATGTTGGATCAGGTCAAAGGCCCATCCAGTCCAACACTGTGTCACACAGTGGCCAGAAATACCAGGTGCCATCAAGAGGTCCACCAGTGGGTCCAGGACACTAGGAGCTCTCCCACTGTTGCCCCCCCCAAAAAAACACCAAGAATACAGAGCATCACTTGCCCCAGACTGAGAGTTCCTATCTATACCTTGTGGCTAATAGCCATTGATGGACCTTTGCTCCATATGTGTATCTGTCCCGGTTCCCCTGTCCCTGGACAAGACCCCCCACCCCCGGGGACGTACCCGCACCACAACTCACCCCAACAACAGCCGAGCAACAGGGAAGGGATGGATCCACAGCCCCCAAAGGAAGCGGGGCCCAACAGCTTGGCTCCCAGCGGCTCGCGCGCAGATCGCAACGCCGGCAGGGCAAGACCCTCTCAGCGAGCACCACGCCGAACCCACCCCAGGAGCCGAGACTCCGGTCCCACTGAAAGAAAGCTGAGACCGAATGGCAGTGGCACAGCCTCCGGGCCGCCGGCTCACCTGCAACCACTCCTCAGACGCCCAGGGAGCGTCCGTGATTATAAACGAGGGCGGGGCCAAGCTGGGAGGCGGGGATGAGGGGCAGTACCAGGACTGGAGAGGGGAAATAAAAGAGGAGCCTTTTAGAAGGACCGGGGAGGAACAACGTGCGAGGGAGCGAAACTGCTAAGGACGGCTAGAGAGAAGAGGGAGAGCAGTATCCTGCATACAGGGCAGAAGGACTCCAGGGGTGCTGTTAACCCCGTCTCCTGCCTATCTGAGGTCCTGGCTCAGCTCCCTTTTGCAGACCACCTCCGACCCCGGCGTCACCTCTCCCACTGGGAAGCCAGGCCACGGGTGAGTTCCCCCTGAGCCCCCAGGAAAAGCATGTCACATATTTATTAGGGGATCTTTCAGAAATAATAAAAAGGATTATAGAAGCTGGTAAAGAATTTAATAATTGCAGCAAGACAGAAAATTACACAGATCTAGAAACAAAAAGTTATATCAGGAAGAAAGGAGTGGTTACAAAGAATATGGCAAGTGATGTTAATGGTTAAGAACACAATGTACAGATTCATGGGAAAAAGCCAAGGAAGAAAATTAATTTGCAACCGTTTACTAAGAATTAGTCCCAGTTTGTTCAGTTAGTCAGTCAGTACTTTTATTGGCATAAGTTATAAACATAATACGGAGAACAAGAAAAACTGTGAAAAAGTGAAGCTTAATATATCTTTAAAGAATCATAGAAAAGTGAACAAAAATAATATACATAGTCATAGAAAAATATATTAACGGTGATCTCCGGAATGTCTTGCCGTTTCAACGGAAGATCTTCTTCTGAACAAAGATGTAGGACAAAAGGTGTCTCTCAGAGATTCATATCCTCTGGTGACGTCTCACAATTATCAAGGAAGGTTTTCAATGTTAATAACAGCTGTAATATGTTACCATGTATGCTTTTAAATGTATTTTATTTGTGCAATTGCATATGTGTATGAGCTGTATCTGCATTTATGTGTCTGAAATGCTGTGTGATCTGCTTGTATGGTTTGCATGCACCTGGAAAGCTGCTATGCTATGTGCTTGGCCTGTCTGCATCTGCAAAGTGCTGTGTCAGTGTGCTGCTGGCATCCATATGCTAATGAGGACACACATCTACCCAGCCTGCCTTGGGATAGAGAAGGCCTTCGCCATTACGCTCAGCTACAAAGGACTTTTGAAACAACAACTTTCCACCATTAGGAGTTCCTGGAATGGCACGTAACCCCTGCTTCTGGTTTGAGATAACAAAAGACAACTTCCTGCTCTTCCTTCTTGGGCCAGGCCAGAAAATCTACATCAAAAGGGTTACCATGGTGATACAGCTTTCACACCTTGACCAAATGGTCCCATAGAAGTTAGGCTTAGAATTTGAATACTGGTTCACTCCTCCTTAGATAGGTACGTCACCTTCCCATGGCCAATGGACTTAGGAGAGAGGACGGACTATAGGTAAGAGTCCAGCCCAAAGGCCAGGTTTTATAATACAAAACACAGCCTTTGTTCTTAGTTAGCTAGCCATCCCCCACCTTTTCTGTAACTTAAGCTGCAAACTGCTAGCAAGCACAGCTAGCTGAACCCCCCCCCCTCCACACTAGGCAACCAAAGCCCTGCTAGAGGTGATTCTTAAGTGTTCTCTTGATTCGACCAAGAGAACCCACACGTGTGTGGCAGGCCCATCCGTGTGAAAGAAGGATCCCTCTGGTGAGACTTTCTGTTCCTGTTTTCCCCACTGAAAAGGATTCCTCCTACTTGGGATCAGATAAGTATAAGTGCTATCCTTCTGTGTTACCCCAGTGTTTGTTGAAGTTATTATTTTCAATACTATTTGCTTTCGTATCTACTGTGAACTAAAGGAACTTGAGTGAGTCTGTGAATGTATCTGTTTTTCGTGTGCTTGAGAAATATCTAGTAAAGACAACATTTATTCATTAAACATAGTGTGTTGTCCCTCTTCTTGGAAAAAGGAGTGTTTGTTCTGATTAAGATCTCTGTATACAATTGATCACAAAAGGACTCAGGATAAGCCCCCATTGTAGATAAAATGGATTTGGGCTAGTGGAACGATCCTCCACTGAGGACTTCCCGTAACAAATATGTAGTAGAACCTGCCATGGGCTAAGATGATTGTAATGCATCTCCGTATTATCTTATTACTGTGCCAATCAATTGTTAATATAAGTTATAAACATAACAACAAAAAAAGCAAATTTTAACATACAGACAAAGGAATCAGCCATCAAAAGATTTAGCCTTATGCTCCCTAATCCTCATAGCAATTAGAAGATACATTGCTACTAAATGGGTAATATAGGGGTGCCGGTCTGACAAAAGAAGGAAAACAAGCCTCTAATCAGAAAAGCCATAGAAATGATGCAAGAGGGGACTAATTAAAAATCACAATAAAGCAAAATATGGGCTAACGATTCTGGCTTTCTACCTCTACATAAGCAGAGTCTTTCATGATGGGGTTATTTGCAAATCTCCCAAAGAGAACGAGGACACTGAATTGCATGAATGTAAAAGCTTGATGTAATGGAGGGGTTGTAAGATGTGAAAAGTAGGCTGCTGGAGCCTCATAATCAAGTGTGATTCCAAACTCTGAAGGAGAGCATGTCCTGCTTGCTAAGAAACAGAGTTTGTTTTTCAGTGTCCAGAAGTCACTGTTTGAAGGATCTAAAAACTTGGGATTCATCTAACATAAGAAGAGAATTAAAGAGGATGCCTATAGATTAAAGGGGATGCCTTAATTTCCACAAAATAAAGTGTGACCAATTAGATGAGAGTCAGACAGCATAAATTGGACATAACTTTTAGATTCTGCTCTATATCTGTTTGTTCACTATTAGAATAAGCATAACTCATTGGATGGAGTTAAAAAAAGTAGAGCTGGGAAATATTTTAGTAGCTAAGCAATTGTAGAGGATATAGGAATACTTATTGATGTATATGGATTATATATTTGAAGTTCATAATAATAACAAAGACAGAGAGAATATTAAATAAATAAAGACCAATGCCTGTCTTAATAAGCAATGTTTTTGTTGTCTAGAGCAACTTCATTACTTTATTTAAATATGAGGTTCCATCCATAAGATTAATGAAATTTCCATTTTTGTGGTTGTGGGGAGTGTATTTCATCTTCAACAGCATTGCTCTAGCTTTGTTCAAAAGGGCAGTAAATGTACATGAGTACTTGTTTTATAGGCTCGACTGTGTACTAACAAAAGTGTGGGCTGCATCATTTGGGGTTCTGTCGTCAGGCTTGGCCATTCTCAGCAGTTTTGGATTGTTGCTCTTTTGTGGGGTACCCTTTGTCATTACAGCGGCAAATGCACCATTTCTTATACTTGGTAAGTGAAACAGTTTTCGGTACTGTATGTATCACTGTGACTTTGGATGGTTATGTCTGATCAGACATTAGAGAACATTTACGTACATCTGTCTCCTTAACCCTGATAAGCATATTAGAGTTTTATCTTGTTTAGATAGCTTTACTTTTCCTTCTTAGTGTTACTTCTGCAAACATGAATATGGATCATAAATCAGACTCATTTCTTCATCTTATCCTGTTTATCAACAGTCTGCTGATGAGATTACTTTTTTGATGTTCACCTTTTCTGTACCTTGGTTCTAATTTTAGCCAGTATCTCTTTTAATTCCTCTGGCACCTTAAATTTTTTTCTGGTTGTTTTTCTCAATCATACTGCTACAGCACTTCATGGTCCAAAATGGTCCCTTTGTCACAGATCACACTGAAATTAGTTCATACATCGAACTACTCTTAGGGCTGAGTTTTCAGTTGCCCTCTTTTATACAACTGCATATAAACCAATTTAAAATACACACAAACTCACTGTGTTATATAAAGAATGCATATGTGCATTTTTCACCGCACTCCCTCAAAATACAAGATGACAGATGTTCAGAATAGAACATGGTGCTATATGCATGCACAGGGCCGGCTCTATCACTAGGCCAGCTAGTGTCTGGCCTACGGCGCACCGGCCCTCAGGGGGGCGGCCCGCCCCCTGGGGGGCGCAGGGGGTGCCGTCGTTGCCAGCAGTCAAGATGGAGCCGGGCCAGGGCTTCGAGGGCCTCGCCACCGGCGCAACATCAGGCAGTGGCTGGTGATTTGCTGGGAGAGCCGCCAAGCCCCACTAGACAGGCAGGAGCGGGCACTGCGAACTGCCCGGCCGGCGATGCCGCTCTGACGCCAACCGCCCCGCAGCCCACCCAGTGAGTGGCCCTGTGCTCCCCATGGGCGTCCGTGGGCGACAGAGACACAGGAGAGGAGAGAGGCGCTGGCAGGGGTCACCTGGGGGGGTTTGGCTCCGGCCGCGCTCGGCTGCTGCGCTTCCCGGGAGTGTCGCCTTTTGCACGCCTGCTTAGCTGGCCGGGGGGGGACGGCGACAAAGAGCTGCGGAGGAGCGGAGGCGCCAGCCAGGAGCGCGGCGGCAACTCTGGGGCAGAAGCGGCGGAGACAAATGGGGAAGGGTGGGTATTTGGGGGGGGAGAAACAGGGATTTCGCTCAGTAGCGTGGCGGACAGCTCCCCCCATCCCTGCCAGCGCGCACGTCCTCCAAAAAGAAGAGTTTTTGGGGGACCAACCAAACGCCCCCCCCAGTTTTCGCTTGAGCTCCAGGAGCGCCGTCCGAGTTCAGGGTCCACGGCCTGACTCCCGCGGAAGCGCGCACGGGCTTCTGCGTGGCAGCTTGTGGAGTTGGGGGGGTGCGTGTGCCTCTCTTCCCCTCCCTCCCTCCCTCCCTCCCTCCGGTGGAGGGGCTTTGCTTCCCCTTTTTTCGGGTCCCCCCAAAGCTCTGCCCCGAACCCGTGGGGGGAGACAAGAGCGTGGACTTTCCCTCTTTTCCCTTGGGTCACTCACAAGCTCTGGCACAGCTGCTCCTGAAAGAGCAGTTTGTGTCAGAGTTCTCTCAGCCCTACCCACCTCACAGGGTGTCTGTTGTGGGGAGAGGAAAGGAGTTTGTAAGCCGCTCTGAGACTCCTCTGGGTAGTGAAGGATGGGGTATAAATCCAATCTGTTCTTCCTCTTCTCTTAGAAAGCCCCAGCGGTGTGTCTGGTGCAGAACCTTCCCACGCATACGCGAGAGACTCCAACCCCCTTCCTGTTTTCCCGAAAGGTACCTTCTTTGCTTAGATGCCTCCATCTGAGTCGTTCTCCACTCCTTCAGGTTTTGCTCGGAGATTTAATTTGCATGCGGGGGGGGGTGCCATAAGGTAGCCTTGCCTAGGGCACAAAAATGCCTGGAGCTGGCCCTGTGCATGCGTCCAACCTTCCTACAGATACAGTGTTGAACATTTTGATAGAGTAATGTGGAACAGTTCATAAAGTCAAGCTGAAATCCCAGTAAGAACCAAAGTTTCTGTTTGTGGAGAAGGTCTAAGTTTTGCAGAAGATGCCTCTTTCAATGCTGTCTATGGCAACAGACTGATCTGTGATTGCTCCACAGCTGCAGGCACAGGCAACAGTCAAAATATGTACTTAGTATCTGTGGTAGCTCAGTGTGTTTTCTTTCAGCAGTTCATCCCTATGCCTGGCTAAAAGTGGGTTTTGAAAAAAAAATATGTGATACTGGTGACAGACATGATAAAAGCCCCTGAAGAGAGCGATCTTATCCCTATGGTTCTGTTAAGCATTTGGAAGGGAAAAAATACATAAAATTTGTGTGCATTTTCATTATCCATACAACCCTCTCATGTAAATTTATCTTCTTATACAGTATGTGGGAACTGATAAGATTAATTTTCTTTCTTCAGGGGTTGGTGTTGATGACATGTTCATCATGGTGTCCTGCTGGCAAAAGACTAAAGTCAAGGACGGAGTCAAGGATCGGATGGCTGACACCTACGCAGAGGCGGCTGTGTCTGTTACCATCACAACTCTCACTGACGTTTTAGCCTTCTACATTGGCATTGCAACATCCTTCCCATCAATTCAGTCATTTTGCATCTATACAGGAACAGCCTTTGTCTTCTGCTACATTTACAACTTGACATTCTTTGGAGCAGTCCTTGCCCTGAACGGTAGAAGAGAAGAAAGCAATAGACACTGGCTCACGTTCATGACAGTGTCGACTGAAACTGATGATTCTCGTGGTTCTGCATATAACATGTGCTGTGTGGGAGGATCTTATGATGAGACCACTGGGGCAGAGTATGAGCATCCTATGAACGGGTTCTTCAGAAAGTATTTTGGTCCTTTTGTTGTGCACCCCTTGACCAAAGTGTTTGTGGTCCTTCTGTATCTTGGGTATCTAGGTAGCAGTATTTATGGGTGTACTCGGGTTAAAGAAGGTATAGATCTTCGAAATCTAGCCAGTGATCATTCTTATGTCATTCAATATTATAACTGGGAAGATGAGTATTTTAAAGAGTATGGTCCAAGGGTGATGGTCATTGTTCCTGAAAGCATACCATATTGGAATTCAACTGTTCGTGTAGATCTTGAGAACTGCGTGCAGTTGATAGAAAACTCAACCTACGTTGATAAGTATTTATCAGAGTCATGGTTGAGAACGTACATAACAATTGCTAATAGAATGTCTTTAAATATAGATGATCGTAGCTCTTTCATTGGTAATTTATCTGTCCTGTTCCAAGTGGATCCATACTCTTGGTGGGATGTTAATTTTACTGATCTGGAAATTTCAGCTTCACGATTTTTCATGCAGACAGTCAATGTCACTACTGCAATTGATGAGCGAGATCTTTTAGAACAACTGAGAGGCCTTGCAGCAGACTGTAACATACCACTGATAGTTTATCATCCCGCTTTTATATACTTCGATCAGTACCTTGTGATAGCTCAGAACTCCATTCAGAACGTCGTGATTGCTACTGGAGCCATGTTACTTATTTCCTTGCTGCTGATTCCCAATCCTTTGTGCTCACTGTGGGTAACTTTCGCTATTGCCTCTGTTATTGTTGGGGTGACTGGCTTCATGGCCTTTTGGGATGTCAATCTTGACTCCATTTCCATGATCAACCTTGTTATTTGCATAGGGTTTTCAGTGGACTTTTCTGCTCATATTTCTTATGCCTTTGTTAGCAGCGAGAAACCCAGCATGAATGACAGGGCGGTGGATGCTCTATACCGCCTTGGTTACCCTGTTGTCCAGGGAGCTGTTTCCACCATTGTGGGAGTACTGGTGCTGTCCATGGCAGCCACTTACATTTTCAGAACATTTTTTAAGATTATGTTCTTGGTTATTTTGTTTGGAGCTGCTCATGGTCTTATTTTCATTCCTGTGTTTCTAACCTTCTTTGGCTTTTGTGGAAGACTTTAAAGACAGCAGCAACTTGGTGGGCAGCATTATAAAAATTCTGCTAGTATTGCAGGAGATGTTATGAAATTTCTTACTATAAACATATTTGTTTAAAGAAGATCCAGATGGTTGTGCGTTAATAGCAAGATCCATCAGAAAGCTGAGGTTTTTGCATTTGGCAGCAGTGATTATCAGCCAACAAAAACTGAGTTCTTAACAATTCAGGCGAGTATTCTCTTCTACTAGTAATGCTGTCTAAGACCAATTCAATTGGAACTAGATGATTAAACACTGAATGAATATCAAGTAGTTACTTTTTATGATCAGGTATAATTTCCTGCTTTTTTCTTTTTTAAAAATTACAGTTTCTTTCCTGATAAAATACTCCTGTCCCCTGGGCATTTCATCATTTTATCAATAAGCTTTGCAACTACTTTGTTAGCAATAACTAACTTACATATTATTTAGGTAAGGGATCCAAATTGTTTGCATTGGAGTGTCAAATACACTGTCAGTAAAGTCACACTATCAGTAAAGTAGCTGCAGGTGATGAGGTGCAGGATTTTAAAATTGAAAAGGATACAAATAATCAGTTGGCATCTATAATAGTAAAAGGTTATGAGTGTTTGTTTGTGGCTAGTATAACTCATAAAATAAATCTAGGAGCTTAAAAGTTTGCCACCAGCTTCTGCATAATCATGGGAATTGGAGTGCCAAAAAGGAGGAGAATCTGAACATTGTGGGTCAGATTATCTCCAAAACGTCCCTGTGCTATTTGCAATGGAAGTGACAGCTTAGTCACTAGAAACCAAGAAGGTGTAGGCAGCACAGACAAGGAGGGTGGGGAATAACCCTTCCTTTTAACAAACAAAGAGAGTTTAACAATTTCGCTGAGTTATGCTTCAAAATCCAGTCCTTCCTCTGTAACTGTCTATGTCCTTACTCATATTCTGGCAAGCACTGAAGCTCTTCAAGGCATCTATTGTGATTGACATATTCCTGCAAGCTGAAAAGAAGCCTCAGATACAACCAGGGCTCTAGTCGGGGGGGAGCTCTCAGGTACGGAGCTCTGGAAGAGAACCTCTAGGGGGCGGGGCGGTCACGTGGTGAAGCCCCGCCCCCTTCTTTACCCCGCCCTCTGCTTCGATCCTCATTCCGTTTGGGAATGAGGATGAAGCAGGAGGGTAAGTAGCCGGGCCTTCTGACACACTTCCGGTGATGTCAGGGGGTGTGGCCTTCTGTCACTTCCGGTGATGTCAGGGGGCGTGGCATATGCAAATAAGTTATGCTAATGAGTTATGCTAATGAGCTCCGGCAGCTCTTTTTCTACAACAAGACCCCTGGATACAACTACATGGAGAAAATGGCAGGATGGGATGGGATGGAGGGAGGAAGGGCCTAAGCCTGGTATACACATTGCTGTTGCAGTCTAAAGGCCAAAAGGGTACGTGTTATTAATCATATTGCTTACAAAAACAGGATGCTTTGTAAAATGAGTTTCTTTATGTTGCTCAGTCCATTTAAAGTACTTTTTTTGAGGAGAATTTTTTCTTCCTGGTGCTCTCCTCATCAACACCAGTTTATCCATAATCAGCAGCTTTGGTACCATTTCTATCTTTCTTAGCTAACAATATTCAGTAGGTAACAGCCTGTAAAACTACTCCAACCCTATAAGATGGATAGCCTCTTCATGGCTTTCCACTTTTCCTAGCCATTGTTCTAATAATCAACCCAATTTACACACTATCTGAACATGTCTCATTCTTTCTTAAGCTCCTGAAATCTTTCCTGCTATGTTCTGGTTTCACTCCAGATCTTTGCTTTGCTTGTGCTTTAAACAAATCAGAATTGTTCCCTTTTTAATCTCCTATTTCACTGTAAACTTCACTTAGATCCCCAGAGATTTGTGATTTTATGTAGGCCATTCCCTGGTCATTGGGGATGTAGAAATCCAGGCAGGCTTTCTCAGAATTCACGAAGTATTTTTATTTATTTATTTATAAATTTGATGTTTAAACCATCCTCCCCTGTGTACAAGGCTCAGGGCAGTGAACAACAGTTTAATAAATACATTTAGAAATCAGTTAAAACAATAAAAATGCAAACAGTTTGAATGGCATTAAAACAAATCAGATTGTTGCATTATCCCACAGGAGAGGAGAGGAGGAAATTAGAGGCCAGGTTAGATGGGGGGCATTGCTGTTCTCAGCCATAGGCCTCCCTGCTTTACAGGCCCTGCAGAACTGCATTAGGTGCCACAAGGCATGGATATCACTTGGCAGAGTTCTACCAGGTTGGGGCCAGGGCCAAAAAAGCCCTGGCTCTGGTTGAGGACAGCCGGACACCTTTCTGGTCAAGGATTGCCAGCAAGTTCTTATCTCCAGAGCATAATGCTCTCTAGGGGGTATACCAGGAGAGGCAGGTCCCATAGATATGTCAGTCCCAGACTGTTTAGCACCTTAAACGTTACTACCAAAACCTTGAACCTGATCTGGTACTCCACTTGGAGCCAGTACAACTGATTGAGCACTGGTTGAATATGTGCTGTTCATGGGGTTCCAGTGAAGACCCGGGCCACTGCATTCTGGACCAGTTGCAATTTCTGGGTAAATTTCAAGGATAGCCCTTCATAGAGCAAGTTACAGTAGTCTAACCTGGAGGTGACCATTGCATGGATTACTGTGGCCTCAACAGGAAGGGGGCCCATTGCCTGACCTGACATTGCTGAAAAAAATGCCAGTCTGACAACATTTGTGATCGGGGCCTCCATCAATAAGGAGGTGTCCAGAAGCACACCCAGGCTTTTGATAGCCGGTGCTGGTGTTAGAGGCACACCATCAAGAGCCAGGAGTTGGTGTGACAAACTGACCTCCAAAAGCAGCATGCTGAGTGCATCAAATTCATAGATTCCACCCTCCAAACCAACTATTCCCTTCTGGGGAACCATCATTGCCAATCTCCAGGTGAGGGCTGGAGATCACTCAAAATTACAACTGTTCTTTAGGTAGCAGAGATCAGTTCCTCTGGAGAAAATGGTAGACTCAGTCTCATTATACCCTGCTGAGGTCGCCCCAGCAAATTGACACTGAGTGTCCAAGGCTGGGGCACCCGCCCAGAGCCTCTTTCTAGAGGCCGTTGTATTTATTTCCACAACGAGCCTTTTTCCTAGTAATTCTATAATTAAAATACGCTACTAAGAGGCTGCTAAGTGGGGAACAGCATTTTGGCAGGAAAATCTGCCTCCCAGTAAAGAAGAAGCATGGGTGTGTCATAGTTGGCACCCCAATCCTAAATCTCCCCTACCCAGCCACAGAACCTCTGTCTTAGATGGGTTCAGTCTCAGCCAGCTCTGTTTCAACCATCTCACCATGGCCTCCAGCCCCACAGCCAGATTTGCTGGGGCAGAGTCAGGCCACCCACCCACAAGTACAGCTAGGTGTCATCAGCGTACTGATGGCATCACAGCCCAAAACCCGCACCACCTGGGTGAGGGGGCGCATGTAGATGTTAAACAACATTGGAGAGAGATAATAGATAAATCCAAAAGGGATTTATTTAAAGCTATGATTTTAGCTGCTAATGCGGTAATAGCATATGGATGGAAAGATGCTTTAAAATGGACTCTGGAAAGATGGAACTGGTACTTATACGAATGGATTCAATCAGATATTTTATTGATAATAAAACAGGAAAATACATGGGAAGATAAGGCGTTGGAGATAAAGAAGAAATGGTTTGGGTATATAAGATGGATAAGAGAAGGGCCCCCCAATAATGATGTATTTATAAAGGGTGTGCTTATGGTTACAGATTATAATAATAATATCTTTTTTCTTCTTCTTTCTGGTTGCTAGGGGGAGGGGGGACGGAATGATAAAAGGGGGGAAATGATGTATTCGATGTTTGGTTATGTTATTAATTGATGAAAATGAGTATGGATGAATATGAATGTTAAACATCAATACAAATTAAAATATTATTTAAAAAAAATCATTGGAGAGGATTGTCCCCTGAGGGACCCCACACACCAAAGTGTATCTAGGTGACACTCTCTCCTAGCACTATCCTCTGTCTCTGACCTTGGAGGAATGAGGTAAGCCATTTCAGCACCACCGTCCATACTCCTGCATCAATGAGGTGGTGGGTCAATAACTGATGGTTGACTGTGTTGAACGCTGCTGCCTGATCAAGCAATAACAGCAGCGCCAACCTGCCTTGATTCAGCTGTCTGTGGAGGTAATCTGTGAGGGTGACTAGTGCTGTCTCTGTCCTGTGGCCAGGGCAGAAGCCAGACTGGAATGGATCCAGAGCTGATGTGTCCTCCAAGAAACTCTGGAGCTGCTCTGCCGCCATGCTCTGTTTTACCCAGAAACAAGAGGTTCAAGACTGGGTGGTATTTGGAAGGATCTATGGCAGGTGTGGCGAACTCATTTTTTATGACAGCCAGATTTGACACAAATATTACTTTGTCAGGCCAGGCCATGTATTCCATAAATGTTATGTCAGGTACCAGAGATATAAACTTCCCATCCTGCCTCTGAGGATCTCGAGGAGGCACACTGGACTCCTCCCTCCACCACCCCATCCCCACCACCAACAACAAAAACCCTGTGAGGTAGGCCAGGCTGAGCAATTTGCCCCGGGTGATCCAGATGACAGGGTCCTGGCTTGGGGGGGTGGGGTCTGTAGTTGCTTCTCCTGTCCTCACTGAATTGCAGGCAGGAGGGGAGAAAACAGCACAACTCCTCTTTCTTTGCCTTTGCTTCCATAACTCACACACTTTTAACTGATCCTCTTAACCCCACTCCTAGCCATTTTCTTTCTATTTCTTGACAGCTTCAACTACACACAAACACCTCAACACGTGTGCCTGCTTGCCACCCCCAACAGCCTCCTGCTTCCTTCCCTTATACCAGTTGATCGTGGGCCGGGTAAGAGCCCTAGACAGGTTGCATCGGGCCCCTGGGCCTTAAGTTTGACACCTCTAATCTATGGGATCCGGTGATGGTTTTTTTAAAGAGCAGTGTTACCATGGCCTCTTTAGGTAAACCCTAAACCGAGGGACAGATTGATAATATCCACCAGGATAGAAGATCAAGAATGGCAAAAGAATACAAGTTGGTGGATGCAATGATGGATGGTGACCAAATTGTAAATTATCAAGCTGAATTTTTTAACTCTTTGAAACCATCAAGATTGCTACAACATATATAGAAGCTAAAAATGAGTGTGCTCATTGTATGTTTGCGAAATCTGGATCCACCAACAGTATGCAATGGAAGCAAAATGGTGGTAAAGCAGCTTTTCAACTACTTATCAACATTACAACATTACAATAATTACAGGCCATGCAGCCCACCAGGATGTATTTATTTCAAGAATTCCTTTAATACCTGCAGCCTTCCCATTCAACGGAGTTTTGCAATGAGCAAAAAATCAAGTTCCAGGACAATCATTAAAATTGTAGGGTGCTCAAGAGTAGTAGACAGAAGTAAACTATTATTTTAGCTCCTGATGGTAGGACAATCAATGCAGTATATAAGAAAACCTTACTACCTGAAATAATTATTTTGCTCTTTCATTTCCATAATTAATTTTTACCATTTGTAAAAGTATTAGTTATTGTTATTACAATTCTTTACCGTATGCACATAGCTGTAAAATTGTTGAATATAATAGTTACATAAATTAATGTATTGTTAGACAAACTGAGTTGTTATGTTAATTACACTAAAAATTTTAATGTTTGTTTAAACTTTGATAAACTGAGTTGTTATACTAATTACACTAAAATTTATAATGTCTGTTTAAATGTCTTCAAAAAAAAAATTAAATCCAAATGCTTTATTTTCTTAATTTTTGTTCTAATTGTTTTCTTTTAGTGTTTGGTAATGAAAAACAACCACTTATTCCTTCATAGAAAAAATACAAAGGTCAATAAAATAACACATAGCAGTCTGCTCCAAACTCTCTCAGTCAATATCCTTTTAACAGTCTTGTATTCTCAAAAGCAGTCTGCTCCAAATTCAATCTCTCTTTCAACACTTATTCCGGATATTTAAGTGTTTCAGACCTCTGGTCTTTCCTCAGGAACAAATCTATAAATACAGAATTCCAGTGATATTACATTGAAAAGTTGATAAGTAAATCTATCTTACCCTATATAGGAATCTCACATTCAATGTTACCTTCAAGTTGACACAACAATTAATATGACAGAGAAAATTCTAAATAGGTGTGGGTCAACAATGAATGTTATCATGACTATTGTTAATGTATTTTTAGAATCAATGATGAATGTGTCAACTTGAAGGTAATATTGAATGTGAGATTCCTAAACAGGGTAAGATGGATTTACTTATCAGCTTTTATACTCACTATTATGAACTGAGATCGAGGCAGCTCTTAAACAAGTGATTCATGTTTATTCAGCTCATAACAACACAAGACCAAGATGCACAGAACAAGGCTGACTTATATATGATTTGAACAGGGGTAACCACACCCAACAAACAGATAACACCCAATAGAAATACAGGGCTTGGAACCTATGAGAGTGGTTCCCCCCGAAAACATAGGCTTCTCTGGTTGGTTAGTTCTTCAATCCAAACACTGCTTTGTTTTAATGGAACTTACGCTTAAGCTAAACATTGCTTTATTACTTAAGACATAACACCCCTCCCCCCTAAGTCAGCACACATATTCCTGGAATTTCACAGGCCACATTCTTACATGTTGAGAACATCTGAGTTCAGCTACCTGCGAATCGGCCCGGTGTCTGGTAACGCACGGACCCATGTTCCTGGTTTCATTCAGCTGGGGTGTGCTGTAGGTCTCCGGCTCGCTGACAGTGCCTGGAGTGGGAGTCCTTGCTCTTGGTATCAGCTAAAGTCTCACTATGCAAAATGGCAGGTGGCGCTGCGGTTGCCAGCTCTGCCTCTGGCTGTGGCACGCTGCAATAACTGGATTCTCCCTCCGGTCATCTGCATCCGCTGTCTCTGACTCTTGAGCCCTACTCCTCCAGGTGTGTTCCCACCAGAACGACCCCCATGCTCCGATTGACCCACTGTGCAAAAGCAGCCCATCCAAACATGTACCTTAGAATATCAGGCTTCTACAGAGTTTTGTCTGAAGCTCAGGCATACATGTAATATTATAGGGTAAAACACAATACATCACCTTTTGCCAGCTTGGGGACCAATGAGATTCATTCCTGCCCAAACAGTGTCCCCTTGGATTGGTCCGTCTCGCACAGGGACCAGTCCGACAGCCGTTATTACAACACCAATACGTCTGTGGGGCTTGTGCCTGAAGCTCCAGCCCATGGCTACCTTTTGTCACTGTGACGACCCTGGCCCTGTATTACAGCACTAGCCTGCCGCCTCTAATGTTATTGCCCTGACCCAGGCCACTCCCAGAGACCTACAGGGTATGAATTTACCTTCTCCCAGGGTCGTTCCTATCAGTGCACTGAGAGATTAATAGCAGGAGGCTCGTTAGAGACTCCGTCTAGCCTTTTGGTAGTGTTAAGGATTAGTGACTACTCCAATTAAAACAACCAGGTTCATTACAAACAAATACTTAAAAGCATACAAGTTAGGGAGAAAGCTACAGTGAGCGAGACCAGGGGTCCCGAACTCCGGAGCATGAATGCATTTATGTGGGCGCTTCGGCATCAGTTCGAAGATCTGAATGCGGGGCCCAGAACGAGAGTGCATTTACACACTTTGAAGCAAGGGCACAGATTGGTTCGAGAATACTTGGCTGAGTTCAAACTCCACACTGCCAAATTACCAAACTGGCCAGATAACATGTTGGCGGAGATGTACCGAGTTGGTCTGAACACTGAGATCCGGGAAACGGTCCTGCGATCTGTGGACCCCATCTCACTAATGGCATGGATACAAGAAGCCGAAAGTGCCGAGCACCGACTGCAAACTCTCCGCTTGGACATTGCAGCAGGAGGAGGAAGATCCACTCCCACCTCCCCAAGGCTAAACCATCTCGTCAAACCGATGCTATGCGGGAACAGCAGATAAGGCAAGGTTTATGCCTGAAATGTGGGGAAAGGGGCCACTTCGCGGGTGACTGCGGGCAACCGACCAGGAAGGAGAAGGCAGACGGCGGCAAGGCTCATCCGGCGACAACGGGGAAGAAACCAACTGGGAAACCGAAATTCGCCAAAGCATTGCATGCATCGCCCAAAGAAGAAGAAGGGGACTCAAGCAGCGAGGAGCATGAGCCAGCGGGAAACGACCCGGTCCTGCTGTAGATGGCGCGGAGTGGCAGGACCCTCCCAGAGAGGTGCCACAAGTGGTGAGTGAACCCC